GGTAGTTCAAAACCAGAGCAGGCAATGAAATTACTAGCCAGGAAGGTTAAAACAAGTACTTCTTCCATCTGTGGAATTACAGAACTCGCTGCTGTGGTGGGGAGGCTAGAARTACAAATGGATTTTAAAAAAGAGGRTTGATGAATATGAAGAAGMTATTAAGACTAGCAGCCTATGTTGGGGGGCAACCTCCCTGTAATTCCCCAGGGGAAAGGTTTGGGGTTTTTTCCGTGTGCTAAGTCTTTTCTGAAAYAGAGACTTCTTTTGGGGATAGGATCACAGGCTTGCTCTGGTGGCGTGTAGGCATTCAGATGCTTCCATATAAAATTTTGCACCCTGGAAGGATGATCCTAAGTGTTTTTTTCCTTCAGATTGTTTTCCAAGTGTCAGCYCCAGCAGTCTTGATTTCAAGAAGACTGGATAGTTAGTGGGAAGAGAGCTAACGAAGGGCTTGTGTGTCTGTGACTCAGACTGGTGAAGACAAGGTTGCATGGACTAGCAAGAGGTTGGCTTTGCTTCTGTGTTTACCCAGATTCAAATGAAAGTGGGGAAAACCTTCAGGGAATACATGAAATTGGAATTACAGGTCAGCATTTGAAAAAAAAGAGAGGTTTTCTGCTTTTGGGGAAGAGAMAGTGTTTGCTCTTAAGAGCCAAATGTGGGTTACTCGTGCTTTTCTGAAGGTTCCAGTTCTCATTATCACCCATGTGAAATGTGTTCCTGAGGCATTAACTCCTTTTCACACTGGTGACAAATGGGGTCCCAACTGGAGCGTGGAGCAATCAGAGTTGCTGCTTTCACTGCTTGGCCAAATGTTGCAGTCACTGAACTGCCTCACTTGCTAAGAAATGCTGTCATTGGTACAGACCCTGCATTATGCTTTGATTGCGACTTTTTTTTTTTTTTAAATGGCAAACAGAAGAATACCAAATAAATTCTGGTATTATTTTGCATGTGTAGTTTTTAGTTATTTTTCCTAAAGAGAGAGTGATTCATGGTTTTGGGTAGCCATTCAAATGTATTGATGWGCAGCTAAAAATGGCTTTTAACCTAAATTTAGTTTTCCTCTCTGCTAATCTATACAATGTCCACAAATATCTATTTAAGTAATTGAATAGTCTCATAAAGATTTAGTTAGGCTTTTATTTTGGCAAATAACAAATTACTTTATTTGCTGGGTGATGGATTTTTTTTGTAATGATTTTACATGCTGTTTATGATTGGCTTTGCAGTGAAATGTAATTACAAGTACAATGTCCTGCATGAAAACTTGAGCATTAAAATGTTTATAATTGTACATGAAATGAAAATATCTGGTACATTTTGAGGTAATACAATGTAATAAATAACACAAATTTTCATTGTTTTAATCACACTGATTGTTTTCTGTCACGTTGATTTAGTATTAGTAGATKTTGTACTCTCACATTTAATTTTGGTTGACTGGAGGAAGGAAAGCTTTCTGCTTCTGCAGCCCCAAAGCTTTTTCCAACTTTGGGTGAGGTAATCATTGTAATGAACTAATTGACTGACCTGAAAGAAGGAAATATTCTCTCTCTATCTGTTACCAGAAGCTGGCTTGGCCCTTTGGCAGCCTCGGGCTCTAGCAGTACAATAGTGGATTGCACTTGAATCACATTTGAAAATACTTTGGTACTAGGTATTATGCTTGGGATTTATCTTTGGAATTATTTTCTGCTATTGCAGTTATCAGTGGATCTCAATACCCTCTAGTTTCATGTTTCTAAGTTTGTTTTAAATGAGAAAAAAAACCCCAAACCCCTTAAAATTTCAGTTTTTAGGAGAAGCAGCTTAGAAAAATTGTACATGTTGAGACAAAACGTATTGAATAAAGTGCTAGTCAGAGTCTCTTTCTCTCCTCTTTATGTTCCCCTCCATACTGTGTTTTTATTGAATTAAACTGGAAGCTGTATTTTTGGGTTCATTTCTATATAACACCTGAGAAACAACCACTTTTGACAGGYTGATCCTCAAAATACTTTTTATCAAATTACTTGCTCAAAAAAAATTTTGGTTGGTATCTATGCTTCTGGAAATRAGTACATATACTTGAAAAATAGGCATTTTTTTTAGAATTTGTCTGTATTTCTTGAGAAAAATTACCTGAAGGAATTAGGAAGTGAGGATGAGGAGTTTGCTATGACAAGCAGCAAGGCCTATTGCAGACTCCTGTGGAAATCAGAGCAATTTGTTTTAGTCAGGAGAGGCAGAGSCAGGGAGAAGCTAAATTGGAAAGGGTTATTTCTCAGTTTTGAAGAGGGGGAAGTCCATTTCCACACAACAGCCAGTGAGGWTACCCAGCTTGCTGCCAGCAGTTGTTTCCAGAGCACAGTTCATACCACTGGGTCTATCCAGAGCCATTCACTGCACAGAGAGCAGCACCCCCTAACYTGGGAATTTCTGTGTGCRAGGGATGCTTTATTCCTTGTGCTYTTACCCYGAGCATTTCCTGCTGGGTGTTGCTKGAAATGTGGTGTTAGCTTAGAYAGACCTTTGAGCTGACCAGGACTGTGTTTTTCCATTTTAATTCAGGCCTTTYATGCTTTGGTGCTTGACTCTGTACAGATGCCTCTGACAAGTGGAAAAATAACAGGAAAACCTCTCATGTGAATCAGACCTTCTGCTCTGTTTCTTGATCTTGTTATGATGTTTCCTTAGCAGAGGTAACCTGACCATCTGAAATTCATGAGAAGAATGTTCTTCAGACTRTGAAATGAAGTTTTGTTTGGGAAAATTCCTGGGGATTTTCCTATCCTTGACTCTCCTCTTGGGCTGTGATGCTATTTATTGACATAGARTGCCCTGACCTATTTTATTTCTCGATGCTTTTCCCAAGATTTGGCTGACAGAGGGTGGAAAAAATAATTAGATTCTTAGATAATTCAAATGCTGTGTGCTGTGTCAGGCACACCTCTTCTGATGTCTGATAAGAGATGAGTGAACACAGTTGCTTGCAAGGCGAGGATGCCTTTCTTTAGATGGCACAAACACGTAAAGCACGTGACTGTGGCTGATGAACAGGTGTTATACAATACAGRGACAATTCCAGCACTTCCATTCATGTATTCCATTGGCATGCCTGAAACCTGCATGGAGTGATTATCTTGGTTTGATAGTTCAGTCTCCTTGCCTTTCAATCCCTGACTCTTTAAGTTCCTAATAGCTGGGAAAATTGGGAAGGAAGCRTTATTTTCTGAGTGCCTGGACTTTGTTTTTCTACACATAACCATGAAGAAATGAGTAAGCCAGCAATGGGACCTTCTCGTGGGACTCTGCGTACACCAAATGTTTTCCTTGGGCAAGTTGAGCTGTTCCTCAGATGATGCTTGTCCTGTGCTGGTGCAGTTAGTGGGCAGTCAGAGCTAGAGAGAGAAGGTGGCTAAAAAGGAAAAAGCTCAACCTGCAGATTCTTGTGTGTCCTWTACAAAGACCCAATGTGGGATGGTGTCCTGCAGCAGGCAGACACACCTACAGCCTGCTCTCATGTGGTACATCATTGCCTGGCTTGAGGCTGGACTGAGCTGTGATGCTGTGGAGCACAAATTGCTCACCCCTAACGCTCCTGAAGTCTGTCCCGCTGCCCCAGCATGGAGGGGCCCTCTGGGGACAGGCTCTTTGCTTCTTCCCAGGTGTTGGCTATAGAGCCTCAATGTCTAAAGACATTATACCTGCTACCAGCACATTGAAACAGAAGCAGAAAGTCCCAAAAGATGACRATAGCTGAAGAAATTCTGTTTTCCMAGTGTTAARCACAAGGAAGTTAATGTTATCATTCCATAAAAAGCAAATGAAAGTCTGTCCGTGTACCACTGCGAAGTCTGGGCATACATTTTCCTAAGCAGTGTGCAGGCATGAAAGTAACGTGATCCTGTGACCAAAGGGTCTATGATTTGCTCAGGCATTGTAAGTAAATCTTTAATTTCTAACTGGCTGCTGTCCTGCCTGTTTGCACTCAGCTGCTCAGCTCCTGGATTTCCCACTCAGGCTTTGGGCAGTGGTTCATGGTGCTGCAGGAATGGATAATGGTGCTATCTTGAATGCAGCACTCCCTTCAGGCTGGTGAAACAGGRCTCAATTTTCCCATCCCTGCCTTTTCTAGTGTCCTAAGCCTGCCCCTTTCTCACCATTCCAAGTCGTGCTGAGTTTTCCTTCAGTTTTGTACCTCAAGTTTTACCTCACCCTTCATAGGTTTGAGGCCACAGTCCTTAAAAGTGGTGGTGGTGAGGCTACTGGGAAAACACCGCTCTTGGAGACTGCAAAATCTGTTCTCCAAGTCCTTTGGAATGGGAGCTAAATGATAAGCCTGGTTTTAAAAAGCAGTAGTATTCTATCTTATCCTGTCCTTCCAGTGGGGAAAAAAAATATGAGGATTTGATAATTTAAATGGCAATACAGTTGTAAACTTGGGATGATTTAGACTGCTAATGGAAAGTACATTAACTTTGATTTTTTTATCTGTGTGTTGGATGAAAGGATAATCTTAGCCTGTCTGATTTCCCATTGCTGCTGGGTTGCACAGCATCTGCCCAAAATAAAAAARCARTGTGGTGATGGCAGTGTGCACACGKAGCAGGCTCGTGTGGCCAGGTCCATTGMCTGCCTGCCCTCCATGTCTCAATCTCAGGTCTCACTGCTGTTGGTTGTTAATTATTCTGGCTGTGGGCTTGTTAAGAAACCCTGAAACCCAAGCATTTTTCCAGGCCCAAGTCATTTGTGCTGAGGTGTTTGTTTAACTASTGACTCGCCTTCTCTTGTTTTGTCTCTTACTCATAAGAGGTGAGGATCTTTTGAGCACGCTGTGAAACAAGAGTCCTGCTCAAAATATGGTGAGGCAAGTGAAAATTGTGACTTTAGCACTGGGTTTTCTTCATTCCAGGTTGACCCTGCTAGGTTCTGAATTACATGGTGTGGTTGTACAACACTGTCACACCATCCTTGTCTGAAGGACTGTTTGCTCATACCCACCTTTGGGTTGGTTACTTCTCCGCAAGTTTTTAACCATTCTTCAAAGGCACCGTTGATACTTTGCTCATGAAGTTTGATGGGTAAGTGGTAGCACCCTGGCAGATCTCATTCCACCCTTCCCCTTTCTTCTCCTGCGGGCTGGCACAAGTGTTGGGGTGGATGTGTGCATGCCAGGCAGCAGATCTGGGTGAAAATCAATGGGAATGAGCAGCTGGGAACATGGGGAGGGCAGGGTGGGGTTTTTTCGATGGTGGTGCCAACAGATCTGTGATTAAAGCATTGATGAAACYCAGAATAAACCTTTGGCCAGATCTRTGTTACCTGACATCAGAACTGAAGCTTTTAAGGATTCACACCTACCTTCTTTACAAGAACTGTCCCTTCAGGCTAGGATAGATTAATTACAGGAAAATGGTCAGGAGTTCCGGAAAATCTGATGATTCTTTTGCTGAGATGCCATCTCTTTTTTTTTTATTTTTTTTTTTTTTAAACACACCGAGACTCTGAAGCAGCACTGTTTGCTGTTGCAGTGTGAAGAGTAGAGCTGTTGGCTTGAGGTCTGAATGAGCCTTGTGGTATCAGTGAGGCCTTCCTGTTGTCACCTGCAGCATCCCTATCAAATTGTGGCTTGTTCTGCATTTGAGCACACCTTGACTGTGCTGTTTAGGTTTCATTGCTGTAATAAAAAGAGGCACTCACATACTGAGTTTTCTGAGATAGAACACTGAAAGCCAAACCTCCCTGCTTTCATGGCAGATTTGTGCTGTTCTGTACCACTGGTGCTGACAGACAGCGTGGGCTTGTTTAACCATGCAGCAAAGCATGAAGCCTCTYTGGGTCAGGGGAGGAAGTTTGTCCCACATGCCTCATCTAAAGGGTATTTCCGAGTTTCAGTTATGTCCTCAAAGCACCTAACGTGGCAGTGAGATGTTCAATCCTTGAGTCCTGCTCACCACAGCTTTCCTGGGAACTGGGTGTAAATGCCCARTTTGGTGTGAAAGGTATCTGTGGCATCCCTTCTCTCAAAAATSAGAGCAGCTCACAGATCTTGTTTTACATTTCTTGTATCATTTATGCATATAAAATACACCAGCCTGGTGCACATCCTCATGATCCTGGACAGGGAGGGTAGGCTCAGGTGAAGGTGACTCTGTGGAGATACAGGAAGTTTTAGTCCAGTCCCTGCTCTGTCACTGTACTGTCTGTGACCTTGAAGTCGTTTAATGTGATTGCCACTTCATAAAGTGTTAACACCTAGCAAAACCAAGTCAGATGTGTGGTGGAAGCTGCTTGTGCTCCTTTAATACAGATAATTAATAACATCTTGCCTTAACCCCTTGTTGGATGATTAATGCTGCAGAATTACTGGTAGTAGGACTCAAGGTTTACTAACACTGGGGTATGATTTTGGATAGTTCACCTTTTTTTTTTTACACTAATAAAGCTTTTGTTGTGAACTCTTACCTGAAAAAGTCCTGTAGATACCATTGTGCTGCTGTGTTGGTTGATGCACAAAAAAAAGCCTGAATGGTGGCTAGGATAATGATATTAAAATTTAATGAAAATCAGTATTGAACTCTGCTCAGTGTGGAACTGACAAGTCACCAGTTTGGTATTACCCCAAGGTTTTTGATTTGTGTAGATTTTAATGAAATTGTTTCTTCCAGCTGATAACAGCAGCTTAGATGATGTTGTGGTGACAATTTGGGAAATTCTTCTCCCTCTAAAGTTACTTGAAAAGCTAAAGAAAATTCTGCAGCTAAAGGAGAAATGACATCATTCTTTAGGACACAGAGATTGTAAGACAGTTGTGTTTTACTGGACCTGATCTCTATCCTTCCCTGAATTTAAGAGGATTTGGCTGGAGCCTATGGTGATAACTAAGCCAGGGATGACTGATGAAGAAAACTCCTCATTAGTCAGTGGTGCTGGTCATAACAAAAGGTAGGTCAACAGACAGGTGTTGTCACACTTGGAGCATCAGTAATTTTTATTCACTTTCTGAAAGCTTGAACGTGAGGAAAAAAGCATGCCTTTGGTTTCAAGAAAACAAATCCTTAGAAGGTGTGTAGATTCCTAGGGATTTATTAACAGCAAGGTCTGTTTGTCTGTTTAATTACTACTGGTTTTCGTTTTGAGGTATTCTTATACAAAGCAGAGTGATTCAGCATTTCAGAACTTTTTTCATTTGGTTTTTTTCTGACTCAGCTTGAGGAAGTTGWCTGAAAGAACACCTTTCCCTCCAAATACAGACAGCTACTATGTCTTCTAATAATTTCTGAATAGCAGATGATGCAAGCAGCAACAAAAATAGGAATTGGTGGCACTTTTTAATTTTCTTTTTCTCCCAAACCTCTGCATTGCCTGCAAAGTTGGAAAACCTAAATAGTCTCACATACTGAGGGAAGGTTTGTGTCGTCCCCACCCCCTGTAAAATACATTCAGAATGTTGCTGAAAAATAAGAAATTTGTGCAGGATCTACCTCAGTAGTTTGGTTGACTGCTATTATTTCATTATCATCTCCATGCGGGAACTGTGATTGGAAAAAATCTCCAATCATTCAGTCCCTTTCAGGTTTGTTTAAAGTATTTGTCTGTCTTGGTTTTGTCCATGTCAGAGGTGTGATTTCCTCTTCATTCTGCTCTTCCTTGCTGAACACACRGTACAAAAAGGTCCTGAGGTGCCAAAGGTAGGACTTCAGAGAAGATGCTGTGTGCACCTGTTCAGCATGGACTCAGATGATGAAGAGGTCAGATGCTGAATTTTTTTTTTTTTTTATTTCATAAAGGAAAGACACCTCCCTGTGAAGAGATAGCCMCTAGTTCTTGGGACACTGTAGGTAGAAGTCCTTAATATATGAAATTTTAATTTTATGGCGGGAAAGGGAGGGGGAAGTAGTGAAATCAAGTTAGGTAAGACTAGAAATCCTTGATTTAGAAATGTATCTTCCACATTAGCCCTGGTGAATGTCTGTGCATTGTCCTCCCTGCCTCTCTGAGAGCCAGTGGGCTCTCAGCTCTGTGAAGGGACAGCAGCTCTGACCTGACAGCAGCTCCCAGGAATTATCCCCTTCCCTTTTTTTTTCTCCCAGGCTGAAACAGTCCATGTTTGCCACCTTGGCTGAGATCAGGCAGTTTTCCAAGCTGCAGCAGCTGTTCCTATAGTCCTCTTAGGTTATTTGAGCTGATGCACTGAGGATTTTGGAGCTGCCCTTGCTGGGCTCACTTAAGTTTCTGAGAGTTGTTTTTGYTGTATCCATCCTTGAATTAGATCAGCTCAAGCAATGTTGTGCAATTTTTGCTCAGGACCAGTGCAGCACACAAGAAAGGTGTGTGTGTGTGTGTATGTGTGTGGGAGGATGTTTTCCGTCCTGTAAATAATAGTAATGATCTCCAGCTCTTCACTGGTCGCTTCTTTCCTCTCCCATTACTCCCAAAGATTTTTCCTGCATGTTTTATTGGTGAGATGAGGTTTCCTTCGGAAGTTAGGTTCTGATTTAAGCTTCACTTAGAAGCTTTACAAAAAGGTTGTTGGAGATGCTGAGGGAGAGAGAGCTCCCTTTGAGCATCTTGTTTGCCTTCGGGGTATCCCTGTGAAGAGCTGTGGGTTCTTAAATGCATTGAGAAAGGGCAAGAGGATGGGCTCCTGGAAGAGTTTCCTTTCCCTTGGGGACCCTGAAGGAACTTTGCTTGCACTTGCAGCCACTTTGTGGTGAGAACAAATGCACCTTGCTCTGCGTTTCTTGGAACTGGGTCTTGCTCACCACTTACATCTCTAGTAGTGGTGCTGTGTGTTTTTGTGTACTCCCGACTCCCGTGGTTCTGTGGTGGTTGTGGATTTTTTGCCTCCTGTGGTTTGAAGCACAGTTGCTGAGGACTCTGAGTGTGTGTGTGTGTGTAGGAATAGCAGATTAGAAAATGAGAGGTTGGAGGCTCAAAGAGCTTCCTGAAAGTGTGGGAGTACAGGCCAGAGAAAGGAAGAGAAATCTTTTTGAAGCTATATCAGTGCTTTACRTGGCCAAGAATAGCAGGCAGAGTGTATTGACAGAGTGGTCTGAGGATAAGTGTTGCTGCATAGCAAAGTGCTGCTGCTGTAAAAATCACTGCTGTCCACCAGCTGAACCAATTCTTGCAGTGCAGTTTTACTGGTATGGTTGGGTCACAGTGAGCATTCTGCTCACACAGCTGTGCTAATGTTAGTCAGAGCTGGTGAACGCTGCTGAGTCCGCACGTGTGTGCAGTGTACGTGCAGCCCTTGTAAAAATGTGGAGGAGGAGTGAAGAAGAGCTCAGATCACACCTTGTGACGTGCTGTGCCCCTGGCAGGGGATGGCTGCTGTTCTGTGGCAGGTCTGTGACATGTGTGCTGTGTTACTGCTCCGGTGGTGCTCGTGTCCTTCCTCCAGTTTGTARAACATCCTCCAGCTTGTAGAACATCCTCCCTGAGAACAGTTCAACTCCTTACYTGAAAGATTCTAGTGAATGGTAACCAGACCTTGGCACCTTGGTGGAGCAAGGTCGAGGAAACATTTTGTTTTGTGTTTTAGCTGCTATTTCCAAAAGCTTAACGAAGCAAATCAGTTATTTCCTCTGTTTTTCTAATGGGGAAACTAAGACAGAAAGGAGTGGGGTGAAAAGAGAACGGGTTATTTTGCACCTGCAATCCTAAAATGGGAACAGCAGCCTGTTTTGCTTTAGCCTGGTTCTTTGGGCACTTGTTCAAGACATTTAAGCATATGCTTAATGATGTGCATGGCAACAGCTCCCTTATCATTTCCTCGTGGTAAACAGTCCTCCTCTCTGAGCCCAAACTGCAGGGCTGTGCCCACTCATGCCAACCCACTGGAATCACCCAGGCTGTCAGCCAGGACACAGCTGGTGTCAACATCTGCCCTGTAGAACCTGTCCCATCATTAGGGATGCAGGAGGTGGAGCATGGATATCTGAACAGTGAGGAAGTGTTGGCAGTTGGGTGGCAGGAGATGGAAAGAAGCTTGTTTGACAGGTGGCTCTTGGATGCAGTTGACTTGAAAAGAATCTCCTGAAGCTCCAGGTGAGCTCAGAATAGTCACAGGGACACA